TTAATTAAGGTGCACATTGCTTTTTAGACATATGCTCTCGCACACTTAGTATACTTAACAGTATGGTGTAAACATCACTTTCTTTTTCTTCCAGGTTTATTGAGATGCAGTTGACATAGAGCGCTGTATAATTGAAGAGATACAAAGCATAATGATTTGACTTATACGCATCCTGACACGGTGACCACAATAAGGTGAGTGAACATCCATCATCTCATAAATATGAAATTAAAGAAACAGAAAAAAATGTTTTTCTTGTGGTATCAATTCTTGGGGGTTATTCTCTTAACTTTCATAGGTAATGTACAGTAGGGTTAATTATGTTTATTCTGTTCTGCATTGGGTTCCTATTATCTGTTTATTTTATAATTAGAAGTTTGTGTCTTTTGACTATCTGTATCCAATACCCCCTCCCCAAATTCTCGCCTTGGGTAACCACAAATCTGATCTCTTTTTCCATGAGCTTGTTTAGTTTTGAATTACAATTGACCTATAACACTATGAGACTGCCCTGATGGCTCCAATGGTAGAGAATCTGCCTACAAAGCAGGAGACCCAGGTTTGATCTCTGGGTCAGGAAGAGTCCCTGGAGAAGGAATGACTACCTACCCCAGTATTCTTGCCTGGAGAATAACACTGTGTTGGTTCCTTAGCAATATAATGTAAGCATAACTTTTATATGCACTTGGAAGCCAAGAAATTTGTGTGATTTGTCTTTTGGTATAGTGGCTTTACTGCCGAGGTCTGAAACCCAACCTGCAGGATCGCCGAGGTCTGCCTGAATTCCAGAATGTGTTGTTATTGTTATTGCTCAGTTGCTAAGTCGTAGCTGGCTCTTTGAGACCCCATGGATGGGCGCATGACAGGCTTCCCCGTCCCTCACTATCTCCTGGTGTTTGCTCAGATTCATGTCCTGGTGTTTGCTCAGATTCATGTCCACTGAGTCAGTGATGCCATCCAACCATCTCATCCTCTGCGGCCCCTTCTCCTTTTGCCTTCAATCTTTCCCAGCATCAGGGTCTTTTCTAATGAGTCAGCTCTTCACATCAGGTGGCCATAGTATTAAAGCTTCAGCTTCAGCATCTGTCCTTCCAATGAATATTCAGGGTTGATTTCCTCAAGGATTGACTGGTTTGATCTCCTTGCAATCCAAGGGCTTCTCAAGAGTCTCCTCCAGCATCACACTTCAAAAGCATCAGTTCTTTGGCGCTCAGCCTTCTTTATGGTCCAACTCTCACATCCATGCATGACTACTGGAGAAACCATAGCTTTGTCTATATGGACCTTTGTTGGCAAAGTGATGTCTCTGCTTTTTAATATGATGACTGTAGATAAGATAATTCCAGTGAGCACCTTCAGAGGCAAGGCAGAAATAAAGATGAAAATTGGGGACAAAAGGTGAAGATTAATAACATGAAAGATAATAGACAGTAAGTGTATACCATGAAGTAAGGAGTGCAATGAACTCAATTGTCTGAAGCTAACATGCAAATTTAAAAATATATACATCGTGGGATGTGGAGGTTGGTCTCCACGGTGCTCCCAGAACAAAAGACCTCACTGACACCACCCAGAAGGCCCTGTCTTCCTCTGCTTGGATTTTCTTTTATGCTGGAGACTTTCGGTGGTCCTGGTGCTTCTTTCCCTGGGAGGAGGTCTTTCTAGGGGCTGAGGAGAGGTGGGTGAGGCAGGCTCTTGTCCCACTGGGAGTGTTCTACCCCTTCCCCCTCTGGGCTGCAGGATTGCCTTCTCCACCTGTGAACGTGAGTGGGAAGAGCAGATTTAAGAGCTGGAGGCTGTTTCTTCATGACTCTAAGGCCAGCAGTGTCCTGGGGGGGTGGGGGCTGAGCTGACTGCTTGGGGTGCAGAGCAGAGATAATTAAGAGAGAGGGAGGCCCCCCAGGATGGATGCGTGGGGTGAGTAGACACAGGGGCCACTGAAATGGGGGTTGGGATGGCTGCTTGTTTTTAGAGCATCACCTCACCTAACCTATCTTATATGGGACTTCCATTAGGGCTCCCCAGCCCAGCTTTCCTCTTCTCTGTAATTCTGAAAGTTTTAAGACCTGGCAGGGGCTGGGAAGACATGAAGTTTCTGATCAGTTTTTCCACCCAGCCCACGCTCTGCGGGAGTAGTCATTACTACAGACCCTTAGATGACTCATGTCCAGAGACTGTGGACCAGTGACAGCCCCCATCCCCTCGACTCTCAGGAATTAGCTGTCTGCGTCCTGCGGAGTCCAGACGTGCACAAGAGGCTTCTCGAGTGTCTGTAAGAACGGACTCCATCACCCTGGCAGACAAGGAGCTGAGCAAGGACCCTTGGGATGATCAGAAGGATGCGAAAATGTGGGGGTGACTGAGGCCCGCCCACCTGGGCTGCAATTACTTAATTTTCCTGGAAAATCAGCATCATCAAGATGAATACTTGGCTGATTTCAGGGCAGATTAAAGCACTTGATGAGAAGTATGTTAATGCTCATTTATCACTTGACAATCCTCGCTGAAAGCTTGCTGATTAACTGGTCAGGTCTGACTGTCCCACTGTCTCGCTTCCGCCCAGAACCAGGGGAACTGGGGTGGGGCGGGGTGGGGGTGGGGGACTCGCACTTTATGTTCCATGTTCGTTTTCAAATTCTTTAGACACAACCTTCATTCCCTGGTGTGAACTAAATTGTGTGCCCCACCCTCTACAAATTCACATGTTGAAGTCCTACCTGCACCCCCCTACCAATCTCCCAGTCCCCAGAATGTGACTGTGGTTGGAGACTGGGTCCTTGTGAAATAACAAGTTACAATGAGCTCGTCAGAGTGGACCCTAATCCGATCAGTCTGATGTCCTCATGAGATAGGGGAGAGCAGGACAGGGATGCTGACAGAGGGGAGAGGGTGTGAAGACGCAGAGAAGACAGTTCTCTCCAAGCCAAGGGGAGAGGCCTTAGAAGAGACTGCATCAGATCCCCTTGTAAGAACCTTCAAGGTGAGAACTTTCAAAGATGTGAACGCGCACCTGGATCCAGCGAGGAACCGGAACCTGTTCCATCAACGTCAGGTGTGAGTGATGTCACAGCTTGCCCCCGCCCCCCGCCATCTCCCATTGCTGACCACCCCTCAGCTCCACCATCTCCCACCTCCTCCCGCTGCTCCGGTCAGTAACTCTTCTTGCCTGTTCACGCGATGCCAGCCCCCGTACGCCAGCCGTTGTACTGCACTGCTGTACTTTTCAAGGTCCTGTCCTGTAAGATGGAACATGTTTTATTTTTTGTGTTTGTTTTTTACATATCATTTGTGTGAAAAGTATTGTAAACCTACTATAGTACAGTGCTGTATAGCTTACTGTGTTAGTTGGGTACTTAAGCTAACTTTGTTGGACTTACAAACACATTGGACTTATGAATGCACTTTCGGAATGGAACTCATTCCTATGTTGGGGCAGTTACTGTAACCGTGGCAGTACTTTGACCTCCAACTTTTGAGGCTCCAGAATTGTGAGACAATGTGTCTATTAAAAAGCAGAGACATCAGTTTGCCAACAAAAGTCTGTCTAGTCAAGGCTATGGTTTTTTCCAGTAGGCATGTATGGATGTGAGAGTTGGACTACAAAGAAAGCTGAGCTCCAAAGAATTGATGCTTTTGAACTGTGGTGTTGGAGAAGACTCTTCAGAGTCCCTTGGCCTGCAAAGAGATCCAACCAGCCCAGTCTAAAGGAAATCAGTCCTGAATATTCATTGGAAGGACTGATGTTGAAGCTGAAACTCCAATACTTAGACCACCTGATGTGAAGAGCTGACTCATTTGAAAAGACCCTGATGCTGGGAAAGATTGAAGGCAGGAGGAGAAGGGGACGACAGAAGATGAGATGGTTGGATGGCATCACCAACTTACTGGATATGAGTTTGAGCAAGCTCTGGGAGTTGGTGATGGACAGGGAGGCCTGGCGTGCTGCAGTCCGTACAGTTGCAAAGAGTCGGACACAAATGAGTGACTGAACTGAACTGAATTGTGTCTATTGTTGGACTTCCCAGGTGTTGCTAGTGGTAAAGAGCCCACTTGCCAATGCGTAAGAGGTAAGAGATGCTAGTTCGATCTCTGGGTCAGGAAGATCCCCTTGAGAAGGGCGTGGCAATCCACTCCTGTATTCTTGCCTGGAGAATCCCCATGGACAGAGGAGCCTGGTGGGCTACAGTCCATGGGGCTGCAAAGAGTCAGACACGACTGAAGCAACTCAGCACACACGCACGCACGTGTCTGTTGCTGGAACTGCCCCATCTGCGCTGCTTCGTCTCAGCAGCCGGTCCAGACTGCTCCATCCCCTATTCAGCATCTCCAGTAATTCCACACCCTCCCATCTGCCAGCACTGGCCTTTGGGGGCATGTTCTGACTATTCCCGTCCCTATCCTCAAATCCTACATCTCCCCAAGGAGCTGCTTTCTAATCACAAGTGCAAAAGTTATGGGTGCTTCTTTCTCCTGGAGGCAGCCCATCCCCGCTCTGCAAGAGATACCTGTCTGGGGGCCCATGTGCTCAGTGTGAGAGGTGCTCCCCACCCTGAGGTGTCCTCTGCACATGTCACACCCCTTTGCCCTGGGTCACCTCCAAGGAGAACGTTGGAAGTGACCGAACTACCCAGACAGGGACAAGAAAGAAAGGGATACAGGAAGTGACTGCAGGGACTTTTCAGTGAAGAGCTGAGGAACGTGCTTCTCGGGCCCGTGGTGAGTTGGAGGCTGACAGGCTGTCTCTGATGGACTTTGGGGGTTTCCTGAATCCAGGTTTCATGGAGTGGATTTCCTAGAGCCGAGTTGACAGGCCAGGTGCCAGCGTGCCAGCGCTCAGTGAGAATCAGCCTGCCACGTGGCCTGGACTTGTGTGGATACCGCGAGAGCGTTCTCTTTCTGCAGCCGGACGTCCATGGAAGGCGAGTCTGGGCCAGGGGTCGGGCGGCACAAATCGGAGGCAGAGGCAGCAGGCTGGACCGGGTGACTGCAGACTGAGATACCTCCACAGGCCGCTCATTGCACAGCATCTGGCCCCGGAGCACGATAGGGGTTGCCGGGAGACGGTTTCGTGTTGACCTCACACCCCAGAAATCCGTCAGCTCAGAGACCCCTGTGGTGGGGACCGGCTCGCTGTGACTGTGGTCCTTCGGCCGCACTGGAGCCAACCGCAGCCCTGGCACGATCTGCATCTCCGTCCTGCAGACCTTCCCGCGTGGGAATCAGCGGACACGCTCAGGGGGCAGGTGTGACACCCTTATTTCTGTGCTTGGGAGAAGTTTCTGTCGTGGCCAGCGCTCAGGGGCCAAGAGAGTGGGTTAAGAGCGAGGTGAGCAGGAGGCTTTGCATCCGGTCCTGTCTGCTCACCTGGGGCCGCTCAGCGGCTTCCGGTCTGCCATGTGCGGCTGACCCTGCCTTTGTCCCTGCAGGTCCTGAGGGCTGGGAAGCCCCTGACATCAGCTGGGTGCACAGCAGGTGCCCAAGGAAACTGCAGCTAGGAAGCTTTGGGACAGTTTGACCTTGCGTTCTTCCTACTCGTCCTCCCCTCTGGGCTCCTCTTTAGAACAAGGAGCGTGTCCTTGGAGTTTCGGTCAAGTCTGCCACTCTGCCCACTGCCTTTCACAAGGGCCTCCTGGACACTGATAGAGACCTTGAAGATGCAGGGGGGCAGGCCTGAACATGATGGTGAGACACCGACAACTCTCTTCAGTATCGGGAGCTAGGACATCCACCACTTCCGTCTCACAGAGTCCGCAAATCGGAGTTTCCCATGAGCCTCTCCGGGTTCAGTTAATTTGCCTGAATGGCTCCCAATCCAGGGAAACACTTATTTACATTTACCAGTTCATGAAAGGATGTGAAAAGGGACACAGATGTACATCCAGATGGAGAGACACATAGGCAGGGTTTGGGAGGGTCCTGGGCAGAGGAGCGTCTGTCCCTGGGGAGTTGGGGTGCATCACCCTCCCTTTATGTGGATATTCACCCAACTGGAGGCTCCCCAAACCTGCTAGTGTCGGGGTCCAGGGGGACTTCCTTATGGGGAGTAATCAGCCATCAGGTTCATCTCCAGCCCCTCTCCCCTCTGGAGGTAGGGAGACAGGGCTGAAAGTTTCAGGCTTCTAATCATATCTCCAACTTCCTGGTGGCCAGCCACATCCAGGAGCCCACCCAGAGTGGCCTCATGAGAACAAAAGACACTCCTATCTCCCAGGAACTTCTGAGGGGTTTAGGAGCTCTGTGTCAGAACTGGGAGCAGGGACAAAACATTGGAACAAGAGACACTGTCGGCGCTCTTGGCGCTTTGGAAATCCCAAGGGCTTTAGGAGTCTGCTGGGGATCAGGGAGGGGCCCACGGTGTGTGTTCCGTGCTTTCTGACAGTGGCTCTTGTGTTCTGGGTGTGAGGCCCGGGTCCCCGTTTTCTCCTGCCAGGCAACCACACCATTCCAGCTCCCCACCTGCATCTCTGTCCCCCTCCCCAGGTGGTCTCACCTGGCCCCACAACCCTCTGAATGCCAAGGCCCCCCCACCCCACCCAGACCAGATCGGCCTCTGAACTTTCCGCACGGATCTGCCTCCTTAGAAAACTAAACAGAGGACTCCAGAACAGAGGGGAAACCTCCCAGCTCCTACGCCTATGTGTCGCTCAGGAGCCTGGCACCCATGACAGCCTCAGCCCCGTTTCGCCAACATCCATCTTCTTGACCCACGGGGGCAATCAGCTTGGAATCAGTGTCAGCCCCGTTTCCCCAGTCATTTACATCTCCAAACCTGCAGCCTGTGGGATGGGCCCCTTGTGGGTCCTGCATTCCCTGGAATCGCGTCCTCGAAGCTCTCCCTGTGAATCCCAGAGGCTCTTTGGCTCCACTCACCTCTGTGATGCTACCCAGGTTCCAGCGAATGCCGGTTCAGTCTCTAAGGCCTCCTTTAGCCCCCACCCCGAGCCCGGCAGCCTTCTCTGCCCTGGAGTGGGTGGGGACCCTCTCACCAGCTGGCCCGGATCATGCTGCAGTGTGAGCAGTCTGGGGGTGGGCCAGAGCGCCCCGGGTCTGTGTGCCCAGCTCCTGGTGCACGTTGGGTTTGGGTTTCTCTGCATGGTATCCTCAGCCAAGCCCCAAAGTGCAGACAGCCATGTGCCAGGGGAAGGGGGCGGCCAGCCTTTCTCAGCGGACGCGGTCAGCCAAAAGGGCCGGCACCTCTGTCTCCCTCCCCAGCCTCTGTTTAGAGGCGCCCCGGCTCCCAGCCTCTGTGGTCTTATGAATGCACTTTCGGAATGGAACTCACTCCTATGTTGGGGCGGAATGTACTGTAACTGTCCCGGTACCTTGACCCTGAACCTGAAGCTTCCACTGCTCTGAGCAAGCCTCTCCAGTCCACAGCTGGGGGCTTCCTAGACCGAGGGGTGGCGGTGATCCCTGCTCTCTGCCTTGTTTTGTGGTTGAGCAAAGCCTGGCTTTAAAGGGAATTTATTTTTCCAAATTGCAGAACAAAGAACATAATGTTTAGGAAGAAAACACACTGCTTACATTTGAGAAAAATTAGCAGCATTATATAATGAAAGACACTTGAAAGGCTTGACTCACCCCGGGCTGACATACATCTTTGACTAGTTTGTAAGATACTCATAAAATTATATCCTGTTAATTTAAGGCTTCTTATGCTAATTTCAGTCAATTTTATTTGCCTACAAAATTTATTGGTGGCCTCCAGGGTTACAGCCGGGCTTGGTCCAAGTATGTGGGATCCTTGTTAAAAACACCAGGAGAGGAAAATAAAACAGAGTTTGGGGTGAGGACCAGAGGGACGGGCAGGCAGTGTGAGGAGGGGCAGGCACCAGGGGGCCAGGCTCTCTCTCCGCGGCCCCCAAGACCATGCCTTGGGTACCCACCGAGGGACACACTAGCCTGTTCCAGACGGACCAGAGCAGCCCCCGCCGGGCCCAGGACCCTCGCTTCACAGTTGGGGAAACAGAGGCACCGAGCTGATGACATTTCCTAAGTGGACACCCACGGAGGAATCTGGAAGCATCTCCTGCGCTAGGTACCCCACCGCGTAAAGTCAGCAAGAGGAGACAAAGTGAGCAAGATGAAGCACTTTGAGGGGGAGCAAAGGGAGGCTGGGTTTTTGTGTGTTTTTTTGGCAGAACCACCAGCATGTGGGATCTTAGTTTCCTGACCAGGGATCGAACCTGTGCCCCCTGCAGTGGAAATGCAGAGTCTTAACCGCTGGACTGCCAGTGAAGTCCCAGGCAGACCACTTTTACAGGTTGTCTCCATCTTGTTGGCACGGAGACCAATCAATATTTGGGGGTCCCCCACTTTGAAGAACTATTCTCAGAAGAGCCACACCGCTTTAACACTCCCTACAGGGGACCCCCACATTCTCCTTCCACACAGGGCCCCACAAATCTCATGGCCAGTCCTCCCCCAAACTTGGGGGCAGGACCCCAAACATGGCAGAGAAGACCCAGGGTCAATGTTCCCACTCTGGGCTATGCCAACCACTCTCTGCTGATCCTGTCTCAGTCTGCCTCCTGCTCTCTGACGGGAGGACCGGGTCCCGTGGCCCTGGCTCCTGGCCTGGGATGGATGCACCCCCAACAGCCTCTTGCCTATGGACCCTGATGGCAGTGGGCAGTAGGGGGTCCCTGATGGGTCCCCACCACCAAAGCAAGCTTCCTCTGGGTGGTTCGTGCCCAAGCTGAGCCTAAATGTGAAAACACACTCAGATTTGCCACAGCCAAACCATGGGGCTGGGTGCTGGGTCCCTGCTGGGCCATGAGCCCTGGGCACTGAAGGACATGCTCTCTCGGCAGTCCACAGTCAAGGGCATGGCCAGGAGCACCTGGCTGCCTGGGGTCTGGCTTTTAAGCCCCTGCCTTTGCTGGCCATGGACTCCCCGGGTTCAGCTGGCTTGTAGCTCTCTCTGGCAAGCGTTCGAGGTGAGAGAGTTGTGAGGAAGGGCCAGGCCAACGTGCACTATCTACCCGAGATGGCACCTCTGTCTCCCAGGAGGGAGCTTGGGAAGATGCTCTGGACTGGACCTTGGTGCCCAGGAGGTGGGAGTCCCACAGACTGTAGACACCCTTCTGGTGGGGCCATGGTTTCCCAGCTCCTTCTTCTGAGGACCGACAGTCTCGTCCCCAGCCACCACCCTGCGTAGCATCGCCTCTCGGAATCTCACGGAGAACTGGTGTCTCCAGGGCTGAGACCCTCCGCCTGCCCTCATCAGGGGTCTGCCAGCCGGTTTGGTCCCTGCCTGTGACCCCAGGGTTTGCCCTGCCCTCCAAGTGGGCTCGTTTAAACTGAACTGCCGGGGTTTGCCTCCCTCCTCCTGATGCTGTTTCTTTTCTTGCGTTTTTCTCCCCATAGCTCTCTCTTCTGCTCGGCACACCTCCCCCCCTCCCCCCAATCCCCTTCTCTTGACACACAGGGAGATAGAGCAAAATAAAGCTCAGACCTAAACCTCCAAGAGGATGCAGTCCTTTGACACCTGGGGTCCAATTCTGCCCCTTCCAGGTGGGGAAACTGAGGCCTGTCCTCCTGAGTCCTACACTCTGGGTCACGAGGCAGATGTCGATGAGCAGTTGTGGATGAGGATACAGGATGTTCTGGGGGCAGGGCAGGAGTGGGGTCAGGAAGAGGCTTCTCAGGAAATGTGATGCTTCCGTGGAGACTGAAGCCTGAACCGGAAGTGTCCCAAGGAAAGCGTGGAGGAGCGGGCCAGGCAGGGGGATGGAACGGGTGAAGACCCAGAAGCAAGAGGCCGGGGATGATGGAGGAAGGGGTGGAGGCCGGGGATGATAGAGGAAGGGGTGGAGGCTGGGGAGGCGTGTGGGGGCTGCGTCCACAGGGCTTGGTGCGGCAGGAGCGGGAGGCAGGTTAAACCCGGGCAGGGTCTCAGCACAGGTGAGACGTTCGGGTGTGCGTCTCCCGCTGCAGGGAGGGCAGCGAGATGGAGCTGTCTGAACAGGAAGAGGCCTGCATGGAGGAGCAGAAGGGAGGGGGACAGTGGACCCAGCCAAGGGCTGATGGATGGGAGATCCAGCAGGCAGCGGAGGAGAGACTGGGGGTGACGCCCACTCTGGGGGGCGGGGTCCCTGCCCTCCTGGGAATCTCGGAGGAGGAGTGGGCGGGAGGAGAGGGAGGTGAGGAGTTAAGGTTTGGACCTGGCGATGCCGGCCTGCCTGCGACCTGCCCGCCAGGCACTGGAAGGCGGATGTGGACATCGGAGGGCTGCTCTGACAATTCCTGAATCTACAGGAGGACGTGAAGGGGCTACGGGCAGTTAGGACAGGACAGAGGACGCGCCCGGGTGTGGTCTCGAGGAGGCCGAGGTTGGGCATTTGGGGAAGGTTGATGAGAGGACTGGAGGGACCACTGTGGCTGGGGGGGGCGGGGAGGCCCTGCAGGGACGGGGGATGCAGGTGGGGACCTGGGGCGACATACTCAGGTGTGAGTGGCGAGGGGTCAGGGGGCAGGGTCCAGGAGCGAGCACTCTCCTCCTCCAGGCTGGCCGAGCGCCCGAGGAACGACGGTCTGGGGAGAGAACCGCGAGGCCAGAGGGTGACTCGGGAACAGAGCGGCGGTGGGCAGGGCTCCGCCTGTCTCCCCAGACAGCTGGGGGGTGGGAGAAGGCAGGGGGGGACTCAGGAGCAGGGAGAGGGAGGCTCAGCGGGGAGCCCAAGAGAGCATGGAGCCAGGTCTGGAGGTTCCAGGGGTCAGGTGCAGGACCACGGGCCTGGAGTGAGGCTCCTGGAAGGTGAGCACTTCCGTGTATTAAAAGGAGGGGATGAGAGAGACTGGCATTGAAACATACACATTACCATATGTAAAACAGATAGCCAGTGGGAATTTGCCATATGATGCAGGGAGCTCAAAGCTGGTGCTCTGTGACAACCTAGAGGGGTGGGATGGGAGGGAGGCGGGTGGGAGGTTCGAGAGGGAGGGGACAGAGGTATGCCTGTGGCTGATTGCTGTTGATGTATGGCAGAAACCATCATAATATTGTAAAGTAATTATCCTCCGATTAAAAATAAAATAAAAAAATTTTTAAAAAGAGAGGATATATTTCAGCCTAGGGTGCCAGAGGGATTAAACACCCACAGGCCTAAAAATAAACCTCACATTGTATATGAACATCAACTCAAAATGGATCAAAGACGTACGTGTAAACATGTGAAATTTACAGAAAAACTCAGAGGAAAAATTCCTTGGGATCTGAGGGCTCAGTGAAAAGTTCTTAGACATGACGCCAAAAGCACAGTCTGTGAAAGCAAAAATGACAGACCGGCCTTCACTGAAATTAAGAGGTTTTTGAGCCATGAGACAAACCCTGTTCAGAGAGAGAAAAAGCAAACTACAGTCTCGGTAGCTTGTACCTGCAAAGCATATATTTGACAAAAGACTTGTTATCTGGAATATGTAAAGAATTCTCAAAACTCAACCACATACAAGCAATCGATCCTGTTAGAAAGTGAGCAAAAACCAGGAACCGACATTTTACCCAAGAGCATACAACAGGTGACAAGTGGGTTCATGGAAAAAAAAAATGTGTGGTACCACTAACCACTAGGGAAACACAAAGGAAAACCACAGTGAGATGTTGTTTTTGTTATTTAGTTGCTCAGTCGTGTCCAACTCTTTGTGACCCCATGGACTGTAGCCGGCCTGGCTCCTCGGTCAGTCGGATTTCCCAGGCAAGAATACTGGAGTGTGTAGTCATTTCCTTCTCCAGGAGATCTTCCCAACTCCAGGAATCCAACTCGAGTCTCCTGCATTGCAGACAGATTTTTTTTTACTGTCTGAACCATCAGAGAAGCCCACAGTGAGATATTACTACCTGCCTATTAGAACAGTCAAAACTAAAAATAGTCACAAGGTCTTCCCTGGTGGCCCAGTCGCTGAGGATTTGCCTTCCAATGCAAGGGACTCAGGCTCAATCCCAGGTCCAGGAACTAAGATCCCACATGCCACTGGGCAACTGAGCCTGCACACCACAACTAGAGAAGCCTGTGTGCTAAAATGAAGACCCAGGGTAGCAAAAAAAAAAAAAAGTGACAATCCTGAGAAAAACATCAGTGTCCTCCAACTGAAGGACATTCCACGAAATACTCAGAAAAATAGTGTTAACACCAAATGCTGGCGAAGACGCAGAGAAGTGGAGCTTCTCATACATTAGTTGCAAAGTAAAATGGCCACTCTGGAAAAGTTTGGCAGTTGAAAAATAAAAAAGTGCTAAGCACAACACTTACCTTAGAAGCCAGCAATTACATTCCTGGGCATTTATCCCAGGGAAACGAGAACTTCTGTTTGCACAGAAACCTGTGCGTGGTGTTCATAGCAGCTTCAATAGCCAGAAACCAGAGATCCAAATGCCATTCAGTGGATGAGTAGCTAAATAAACCATGGTACATTGGGCTGTGGACCGCTGCCTGGGAGCAAAAAGGAGCTGACTGTGGGGGCACGCAGTGAGGATGGAACTTAGGGGCCCAGGCTGAGTGAGGAAAACTGACCTTGAAACATTACACACAACGTTCTCGAAACAGCAAAATGAGAGGACAGCTTAGGGGTTGCCAGGGGCTGGAGATGGGAAGAGGGAAAATAAGGGGGAGGGGTGGTGTGACAAGAAGGATGCAACTCAGGGATCCTCCAGGTGATGGGATGGTTCTGCATCTTGATCGTGGTGGTGGTTACGTGAACGTGCCCATGGGGCAAAATTGCACAGAACTAAGTACACACAACAGTGCCTGCTCTGGACTGCCGTGTCCACCCCAAGTTCATATGTTGACGCCTAGTCCCCGGGGTGATGTATCAGAGGTGCGACCTCTGAGAAGTGGTGAGATCAAGAGGGTGGAGCCCTCATGTTAGGATCAGTGGCTAATAAAAGGGAGCCCAGAGAGGTCATCTCTCTCCCCTGTGTGTGGATGTGGCAAGAAGGCGGCTGTCGGCACACCGAGAGGAGAGTCCTCACCAGGAACTGGACTGGCCAGCAGCTTGAGCTCAGACTTCGTCTCCTCCCGAACTGTGAGCAATAAAGTGTCTGCTGTTGAACCCGTCTGCGGTATTTGGTTCTGGCAGCCTGATCAGATTAAGACGGCCTATAAAACGGGCAAAATCTGAATAATGTCTGTGGGTTACACCGAGGTCCGTTTCCTGCTTTTGACGCCGAACTGCAGTTATGCAAGTTGGTATCCCTGGGCGGAAGGTAGGTGAAGAGTGCATAAGACTCCTCTCTGTACGGTTTTGGCAAGTGTCTGTGAATCTCTAATTAGTTCCCCAAAAAAGGAAGGGAGAGGACAGATGCCCAGAGGGCTTACTCGTGGACAAAAGCCAAGCGTGTCAGGAATGAGAAATTGGGGAAATATGTGATGAGCAGGTTTGTTCCGTCCGTGGAGGCCTGTCTGGCGGTCAGATGCCTGGGGAGGTTCACTCAGGTAAGGAGGAAGCGGCGTGCCCCCAAGAATCATTCTGCCGGGGATGCAATGTGACCCTCAGCCTGGAGCTAGAGTGTCTCTCCTGGGTTCTTTGCTCTCTGTTGTATGGGGACAAGCGAGTGGGCCAGGGGCAGACAGGGACTTGTGTCCCCTGGCCCCTCACACCCTGGGAACCTGCTCCAGTTCTCACAGGAGCACGGGTTGGCACCTCCAGCAGTAACATGTTCACCAGGGCAGGGTCTTCTGGGGCTTCTGCAGCCACGAGCCGCAGCCTGGGCTTCCCGCAGAAATAAGTAATCACACAGTCTTGCTTTGCATATTAGGAGCTATCTGCATCCCACTCTGCTAAGTTACATGAGGACACAATTTATCTTTAGCCCGAAGCCACCTGCTTGGTAATCTGCTTCTGTGTACCCGATTGATCCCACCATCCACACATTAGCTGGAGGAACGGCTGACTTTATTTAAAGCAATCGGCTCGTACGTAAAGAAGCCGGACAGGGTGGTCCGGCACACGCCCATCTGGCGGGGGGGCCGCAGCCTGCGGGCAGCCCTGTCCTCCTCTGAACCGTGGGGCGGTCTACCCCGGGGCCAGGCTGGTGAGGGACACAGAGCCCCTGAAGGCAAAACCCTAGAACCCCATCAGGAAGGCTTCGCACGCAGATCGTGGGCTGAAATTTTCCCCCGTTGCTCTCTAAGGGGGTTTCCTCATGTTAACATTTTGGTCCCCCTTCTAGACAAATGTTTAAATTCGTGAATGAAAATTCTGGAAGTGTCTGTACCCGGTGCGGTTCAGTGTCGGGTAAATTATGAAATGTGTGTGGTCCTGGTGTCTGAGTGTCTCTGGGGTTTGAGCCTTTAGGGGAACAGTTGCCTCGTGTCCCGAGTTTGGTGGTGTTCAGTCGCCCAGCCGTGTCTGACTCTGCGACCCCATGGCCTGCAGCACACCAGGCTTCCCTGTCCCTCACCATCTCCTGGAGTTTGCTCACACTCATGTCCATTGAGTTGGGGGGGGTGTGTATGTGTGTTAGTTGCTCAGTCGTGTCCAAGTCTTTGCAACCCCATGGACTGCAGCCTGCTAGGCCCCTCTGTGCATGGAATTATCCAGGCAGGAATACTGGAGTGGGTTGCCGTTTCCTTCTCCAATTGAGTCGGTGGTGCCATCCAAATATCTCATCCTCTGTTGCGAATCTTTTCTTAAGTGCTTCTCCCCTCACTTGCCCACGACTGGGCAGCTACACACATGCACAGACTCCCACGATTCTCTCTCTCTAGATTCTTCTTCCAGGTTCATTATGTTTTTCAAACTCCCTTCTAACTCTTGCATGGCAGCCAGGGTCTGCTATAAGACTTGCGCCCACATGGACTGAATTAAAAGGATAAACAAATGTAGATTATAACCAAACCACGCGAAACCAGGCAGGCAGTGGTCTGTCAGTGAGTGAGGGGCTTAATCAGTCCCTTGAGAAGGGTGCTCTGGGAGGATGTGGACCCTTGTGGGCGCGGGGGGGATGACTCTCAGCAGATCACAAGGTCGCCTTCACAAGATCAGGGCAGTCATCTGCAACCCTCCAGAGCAGACAGGAGGGCTGGCGGACCTGTGGATGCCCACCTGCCACTGGACCCACAGCCCCGCCTGTGGACCCCTTAATACATTTGGGACACAGCTAACCAGATGCAGTTGCTTCTCTGCTTGTTTTATTCCAAGACTTTTTTTATCCCCCCCGATGAAATCCCCTGTGATGGTTGATGTTAAGTGTGCTCTGGGACTCCTGGATAGCTGTTGAAAACATTATTTCTGGGTGTGTCTGCGAGGATGCTCCTGGAATAGATTAGCGTTTACATGGGTGAGCTGACTGGAGAAAACTGCCCTCACCAATGCACACGGGTGTCTCCCTGTCTGGGGAGAGCATGGATAGACAATAATGGCAGAGAAAGGGTGAACAGTCCCTGCTTTCCCATATTTCCTGCCCTGACATTGATGCTCCTAGTTCTTGGCCCTTCTGAGAACTATACCACCCATTTTCTGGGCCCTCAGCTTACACACATCAGGCTTGGGACTTCTCGGGCTCCAGAATTGTGCGAGCCAAACCCTCGTAGTAAATCCCTATCTTCTCTCTCTCTATTCTACTGGTGCTCTTTCTCTGGGAAATCCTTACTTATAGAACCCCATTCCTACTAAAAATTCACTCCCTACCTCCTCCCTCTAGCCACTGGCTACCATTCATCTCCTTGCTAACTCTATGGATTTTCCTGTTCTGGACATTCCACATCAATGGAGTCATACATTTGGGATTTTGTGTCTGGCTTACTTCACTTAGCATCATGTTGTCAGCGTTCATCCATGTTGTGCTTCCTTCCTTTGTACTGCTGCATCATATTCCATTGCACAGATAGACCAGCCTTTATTTGTCCATCCAGCCTTTGAGCCTGCCCAGAGTCTCTGGCTGCCTCGAGGGCCTCATCGTGAGGGGCCTTCAGGATCGAGAGCTGCTGAAAAGTGACTTTGTGTGACCTCGGTGCCTAGAACAGCGCCTGTGCAGAGGGCATACCCAGCAGGTGCTGTTTAGTCATTCAGTCGTGTCCGACTCTTTTGCAACCCCATGGACTGTAGCCCACCAGGCTCCTCTGTCCATGGGATTCTCCAGGTGGGAATACTGGAGTGGGTTGCCATTTCCTTCTCCAGAAGATCTTCCCGACCCAGGGATGGAACCCACATCTCCTGCACTGGTAGATGGATTCTTTACCATTGAGCCACCAGGGAAGCCCGGCAGATACCTGCTGAATAGCGAGTGGATGAATGAGTGTGCTCACTGCTGGGAGAAACAGTGAGTGTCTGTGCTCCAAACTCTTGCGGGGGAGAGGGGGTGTGCCAGCTGCTAGAACCACTTTGGGGAGAAAACAACACAGAGCTCTGAGGGACAAGCCTGGGACTGGGAGTCAGAAGCCTGGCCGTGGTTCTGATGGCACATGGACTTTGTCAGTTACTTAGAAAAGAGAAGTGAGTTTCCTGTTGCAGCTGTAACAAGTCCCCACACGCTCTGTGGCTTAAACCAGGGTATGTGTCTTATCCCACAGTTCCGGAGGTCAGAAGCCTGACATCAGTCTTTGGCCTAAAATCAAGGTGTCAGCAGGGCTGTGCCTCTTCTGGGGATTCAGGGAGAAGACCCGTTTGCTCACCTTTTCCAGCTCCTAGAGGTGCCCATACTCCTTGGCTCGTGGTCCTTTCCTGCATCCTCAAAACCAGCAGTGTACCACGTCTCTGCCCCTTCCTCTTTCAGCTGATCTCTCTGAACACAGCCAAGAAAGCCTGTCCCCTCCTAAGGGCTCATGTGATCATATCAGGACCATCGGATAATCCATGATGATCACACACCTCAAAGTCTTTACTTTAATCACCTCTGCCGCGTCCCTTTTCCACGTAAGGTAGCGTACTCCCAGATTCTGGAATTAGGACATGAACATCTTGGAGTGGGGGCTTTATTCTGTTGACCACAGAAGCCTCTTGGCCTGAGACTCGGTTTCCCCAGAGGAGGAAGGAGGCCAGGCAGTTTCCAAAATGCTTCCCAGCTCTTGGCTCAGGTCATCACAGCGGGAAAAAATGATGACTCCTAACTTAATGATGGAGTTCTACATCATTGGAGCAGGTGCCTGGAGCTCGTCCCATCTGACCAGATGCTCTCTTGGAGGTTTCTACTCGTTTTCTTCCAGGTTCCTATCGCTGGCCTCTGAGAGCATCACCTCTTTTCACAGGTGAGGGACGTGAACGTCAGGAAGCCAAGTGAAGCCCCTGAGATGACCTGTCTCAAATGTGGGGGCCTGACCACCACCCCCCACACCCTGCCCCATCGCATCTGTCTAACTCTGGAGCTGTGGAGTTCTCCAGTTTACACTGGTGATTTGGGTGAAATGCAAACCGCTTTAGGGCATTTAAAAATCCAATGCATTTTAAATTTTAAATCGATCATTTTAGGAAGCTGGAACGTGCAATGAATTTAGTCATTAATCTCAAAGTTTTGGAAGCAGACTTCCTGCGTGAAAGAAAATAAAAAGGAGTGTGAGGCGAGGGGTGGGGGTTGGGGGAGGGTTTGTTGATGTGATTTTTTATGGTTCAGTTCTTTGCTTCCTAGAGTTCTTTCTTTGAAGATCGAGCTGGAAGAGAAACTACTGAGCAATGGGCCACATTTGGGGCTCCTAGTGCCAAAACCTCTGTGTCCGTGTGTCCACAGCCCAGGTCTGGGTGCTCTCTCTCTCTCAGGCTGGCACCTGCGGGTCCTGCCAAGTGGCCCAGGAGATCAGCTTGTGGGCGCTGCTTCTCAGATGAGGAACAGAGGAATTACCAAGCCCCCAGCAACTTGCGACGAGCTTTTCTTCTCAACCAAGTTCGTTGCTCCACCTCTGGCTTCTCCATGGGTCTTACGGATCAGCCCCAAAGACGGAAGGCGATGGGAGGGGAATGCATTGATCCCATTGGCTTGGCAACTGCCCTGTCAATAGTCCAGTTGTTTCAAGGCACCGAGCTCTCTGAGTGGAGGGCAGGACAACGCACACATGACCGTAAGGGGCTGGCATCTAAGTCCTCTCTGCCTGCTGAGTCTCGGAGAGCTACCACCTGAGGATGAACCCAGGAAGCCCCGAGTGGGGCTCCCTGGCAGAATCCCAGGGTGGAGTTGTGCTTCTGGGTCCCCTTGTTGGAGATTTGTGGGTGTCATTTGGGATCTCAGCGGTCCCGTTCAGAGAATACGTGTGAGCCACCTCTTTCTTCAGGTGTGTCTTCATTCAACAAACACGTGTTACACATCCTGAGAGCGCCAGGGGATAAAAGATGAAGGAGAAGTCTTTCCTGCCCTCCAGGAGCTCACAGTCGAAGGGAAGACACACCGCAGGCAGACTAGGGAAGTCTGTGATGATTGCCCTTTGCCGATTTCCTCCTTCATTCATCGAGTGCTTCTTACAAGCTGCTTCTGGGGCCAAGAACCCTGGGCGCTGAGAGGTGAGGAATCCACATGAGGCTGTGAAAATATCATTAAAGATGTCAAACTTCACTTGTTGAGTGGTGAGCAGATGTAAATCTTTTGGATAATTATGAAAACGCTTCCTTGAGAGTCACTGTTGAGAAGAGGCTGTATCCACTTTGGCCTAAATGAATTATTTGAAAGCTTCTGTTTGATCACCACTTTTCAGATACCACGAAGAAGAGATACTCTTCATCTATCCCCAAATCCATTGATCGCTGGCTGTGCATCTGTTAGGTACCAGAAGCTGGCCTCCCCGAGGGACATGGGCAGGAGGGGGGGACCCAGTCCTGGCCCCTGAAATCTCGCAGAGGGTTGGGGAGAGACACTGAAGCCTGGGATGATAACGTGTTCGTAGCCTGGAGCTCTGCTGGTGCTGGGTTAACCTGAGTTGTCCACCCCTTTGGGTACCGCCGTGCACTTGACCATTGAGTGACCGCTGCTCTTCGTCATCCCACTGGCTTGTAGTGCTACTCAGAACTGGAGAGGGTCGCCTTTTGCGAGACGGTGGACCTCCACTCAGACCCGGGTTATGGACACTCTTAGACCTATCTTCATGAGGGAGCGCAGTCCAAGGGTCGAGA